TTTAGTTTGGTTATACAAAGTAGACCTCTTCTTTTATATTTCTATGAGTTCCTTCTTTGCTTGAGTCTTTCTTTCCTTTTTCAGTTCTTGGTTTTGCAGAAGGATTCCATATAAGAAGAAACTAAAGAACTAACTCACCTTTTATTTGATTATCTACTCCATTTTGAAAAACAATAATTACACCAAAAATAACAAGCATTAGTCCCTTTTCTTTTTCACAAACCACACCATCTTTTGGAAGCCAGGTTAAACTCCGATTATATTGCATATTACAATAGGACTCATCAAGAAAAACCTTTAGAAGATCTGGTATATCATTTTTATTATGAAAATTTTCAAATCGTTTATGAAGATAATATGTTCTATAAGCTATATTTTGAGGAAACTTATGTAGTATATTTTGCCACTCACCTTTTCCATAATAATAACCAAGATTTTTTAAATCATGTGAAAGTTGTACTTTTGAAATAAAAAAGTTTAACTCTGATAATTCGAAAACTATCATTTGTAAGGTAAGTTGAAGGCCACTTTTGTTTGCAGAAGAGATAATATCATATATAGTATTTGTATAATAAGCTGAAAATTTCTGAGGAGGCCACTGGCCTTGTTTTGATAATTTAAACTCTCCTGTTTTATTAAATTCAGCAAGAACTCATGAAATAGTTCTTTCACTAACTCCTATTGCTAAAGAAACTTCTTTGCGAAGACTAAATGTTTGGTGTAGCTGTTTAATAATTTGATTATTTTTTTGAAGATAGTAATAAACAGATACGATCATAGCCTTCTTATTAGTAGTTAGAGCACTAAGTTTATGTTGGTTTTGGTCTATTATACATTTTAGAATGAGTAAATATTAGCTTAAATAATGTGTTTAAATATCTGAATTATTTATTGATATATGAATACTAATCTTAATATATACCAAACCCAGTTTTTGTCAAGTAAATTGATTAAAACTCACTAATTCTAGATGAATTATACTTACCATAAAAGTTTATATAAAAATAAATAAAATTTTATTATTAGATTAGCTATTTAAATATCGATAAAAGATAAATTTTTTTTTTTTAAAAAAAAATTATGATCGTTAAGCTGATTATATAATAATCAAATTTCGTTTAATTTTCATAAAAATTTCAGTATTAGTAGAATAGCATTTCATAAATAAGTTTACTTAGTATGATTTGATCAGTTTGTTTAGTATAAAATCATGTTTTTCGTATTATAAAGTTTTAAGTTTAATAACTTCTTCAAGTAATCATTACTAATTAAAGAAATTAATGCACATCGATTGCTGTAATACTACAAATTATACTGCATATTAAATATGTGATATTAATAACTATATATTTTTATAAAATATTAAGCTATATACTTGCATATTTTTACTTCATAATGATGCATTTTGAATGACTTGTCTATATAGAAATTACAAATGATATGAAAATTATTTGTTTTATAATTATTAAATAAATAACTTTGATTAGCTAGAACTTGTTATCAAACAGTTATAATAGCTTGCAACTTATAGATTTAATAGCTAAAAATCTAAGAATTATTATCTAGTATTTGTAAAAAGTAGGTTATTTTTTTTATAAAAAAAAATAAATTATTATAAATATTTTATATATTATTTTTGGGTCAGAAATGATGAAATTACCCATACAAACATATAGAAAATGGTATAAACAAACAAACGTGATTTGAAAACTAATAATATATGTTACATGTTAACCAATAGAAAGAAAGTATACACAACAGAAACCAGAAAAAACACAGGTAAACAGAAAAAAACTCAGAGAATTTGGTCAAAAAGACAAAGTCACTTTAAGAAAACAGATCAAAATAGAAGAAATCTAGTTTACAAAATTAGCCAAAGAATAATATGTAGGATACAGAAAGCTCTAAGTATTTTATTAAGAAAATAACTAAAGAGTATAGTAAAGAAATTATTCAAGAAGGTAGTGTATCAGTGTTAGGACTAGCAGACTATTTGGATGGAATAGTTGCAAAGACAATGAATATCAATAAGAACATTATTACTCTAGCAAGACTTTAGCATGTTGTACTAGAAAGAGCTGCTTTTATAGAAGGAATAGACAAAATTAAAGAAGTTTTAGGAAAAGAGCAAGAATCAGCAAGCATGTAACTAGGAAAATTAAATGAAACAACATAGAAAATAGAAATAGAAACCAAAGAGGCACTAATTACAGAAGCAGAAAGAAATAAAGAAGTAGAATCACATGAAAATATTAGACAGTTTATTTAACACCAAGAAGAAGTAAATAGCAATGAAAAGGTAGCAAAAAGAACCAAAGCACTAGAAAGTATGAAAAACATTTAACTAGTAGAAAATAGTATAGAAATACATCTATATAAAAATGAAATAGAAGACAGATTAGAGCAACTAGTAGAAATAGAAAAAGCAAAACATAGCAGTACATCTCTAGATTGCAGTTTATGGGTATCTAACTCAGAAGTATATAGAAACAAAGGAGAGATCAAAGCTAAGATAGCAGCAGTTAAGTTTCTTGAAGACAATGCAGAACAGAGAGAAAAATCAATAAAATAGTTTCTAAGAAGAAACAAGCATATTAAAGTGATCTAAGAAAAATTTGTGAACAGAAACTAATAGTGCATTATTTACTTCAACTGTTAAAAAGGTTACAAAGAAGCTAAGTTAAGACTGGAAAAAAAGAAGGATGAATTCAACCAGATAAACCTAATACTTAAAGAAAAGGTCAAAAAAGAAAACTCAAAAAAAGAAAAAACTGTACAAAGCAAAGTAAAAGAAAAAGAGGAAAGAAAGACTCAAGCAAAGAAGGAACTCATAGAAATATAAAAGAAGAGGTCTACTTTGTATAACCAAACTAAA